TATCTATCTATCTATCTATCTATCTATCTATCTATCTATCTATCTATCTATCTATCTATCTATGGAAAGAACAAATTTTAGGTCTGGTTATTGGTCTCTGGCTTCTGTGACACCATGAATACTGACTCCTCACCCGGCCTCTTTCTCTGTATCACAGAGATTCTGCAGTTTTGGATAATCAATACTGGCCCTTTCATGCATCCCAATTATTCTCAGATGATATAAATTTTGGGGTGGGCCAATTCAGAGCCTTGGATCTTGGCCTAGGTGGTGGCTGAGCTGGTCATCCAGCCAGCTTGCCCTCATCCCCACCACCAGGGTGAGCTCTCCAGCACTGCTCTGGTGAGGCCACCCAATGCTGCCATCTGCAGAGGAGGCAGGGTCAGCTCTCCTGCTCTGATGCCCTTGGGGCCAGCTCTTTCACAGGCCTCCAGAGCCAGTTCCACTGTGCTGCCCAGTCAAGGCATGGGACCCATTCTCCCAAGTGCTGCAGCCTGTAAGGGGCTGGAACAGCTCTCTTGCTCTCACAGCCTCAGGGCTGGCTCACAGTGCCTTAGCCATCAGCTCTGGGTCCACTGTGTTCTTCAGGTTTCTGGCCCAGTCTTCTGAGTTCTATAGTCTTTAGGGGGGGTTGGGACAGCTCTCCTGCTCTCATGCCCTCAGGGCCAGCTCTCCTGATTATTGCAGGTGGCAAGGGAGGTAGAGAGCACCACCCTGCATCCATGACACCTTCCCCCACATGAGTATCTAGGCCAGCTCTCCCAAGGGCTGCCACTGGTGAGAGATAGGGTCATCTCTCCAGAGTGCAGCATCCAGTGAGGGACAGAGCCAGTCATGCACAGCCCCTGGACATGCATGTGGTCCCTGGAAGCTGCCCCAACTAGAGACATTGCTACATTCTCTAGTGGTAATATGAACCATGAACACCAAAGCCAACCCCTGTCATCATGTAGCCATGGACTCAGATATGTCCCTCAAATAGGTCCCTTGGGATGGGACCTCACCATTGCCCCAAGTGGCCATGCACAACAGGCTATTCCTCCTCACCCTCAAATCTCCAGTTTCATCTCTCTTTATAATTCTCAACCTGCTACATTCCTCTTTCTCTCCAGTCTGACCACCACACACTTGCACGTTGTGTTAGCTCCCACTTCAGGCTGGCCACATATCCAGTGAGCCCCTGGGTATCACCCTCCATCCCTGCTGTGTGGCATGGCAAGCAGATTATCTATGGCCCACCTGAGCCAGTGCACTGGGTGTGCACTGTGGTCTGTGGGTGGCAGGGTGGTCCTCCCGTTTTTATCTGTCTTCCTCTTCCCATGTTGCATTACCTGGTTTTGATTTGAGTTTTATGAGTCCTTAGCATAACACAGCTTTGGCCACCAAGCCAGGCATCAAGCTTAGATGAACAAAGGAATGCCAACTTCTCTGACCCTGACTGGTATAAGAACACCATCACCAACAAAGTGTCTCTTTGCCCATTGCCAGGGGAAATCAAATAACACTCCCAACTGAAATTACAAAGACATAAAAATAGACAGGCTTGGGAACAAAACCCAACTTTTTCCTACTTTTGTAAAATTGCAGCGGAGGCAAGATTAAGGTATTTGAGAACAAGCCACCATTTCATGAAGAAAGGGTGTTCTGTGGCCTGGTGAAAGAATGAAATCAAGTGAAATTTCACTTTTTATCTTCTGCTTATTGAGCTGAAATAGCAAATGCCTTTTCTATATAAATAGCATCCCCTTTATGGAACATACCATACTACATCATGGAGATTCTTTGTAGGTAGGCACTTTCTTAGATAACAAACCATTCATTGTAGAAGTTTCTTGGTATGTCTACACACTTTGGAACCTTTTTTCCCCCCAGCAAATTAAAGCTCTGGGAAGACTTGTTTAGAAATGCCCAACGCTACAGCTTAAATGCAGGAAGTACTAAGGCTGCCAATGGGTACGTGTCCAAAGTTATACGAAGCAAGAGTTTAGCATTTCAAATAAACAGAGCCATGTTGTCTGTAACATTTCACATGGTAAAATAAGAAAACTGGAAGAAGTACCAATCTTAAAAGTGATTTAAGAAAACATAAAGAGATGAAAAGAGAACTGGAAACATGCTGAAAGAAATGGAAAGGAAAAAATATAACATTTCAAGAACATAAGTAGCTGGAAAAACAATGGGGTCTATAGAAGACAATTTTGAGGAAAAATTTGCAAAATAGGATATTACCTTAAAGTCAGTGAAAAAAGAAAGAGTGGAAATTGTTAAAGAAAACAATAATATGCACATAAGGCAGGTCAGAGTTGGTCAGAGTCCAACCAGGAGGCATAAACTAGACAGTAGTCAGAACTAGGGAAGTTTACTATAAAGGTTTTGACAATAATAACTGGTTTGAATCATTAAGGGTTGGATAAGCATGCTAGTTTTCTAGGTCTGCTACATCATAAAGTGCTACAAGCTGGAATATTTGCACAAAATAAATCATTTTATTTTTACCATTCCGGTAGCTATAAGGTGAAGACAAGAGTGTTGATAGGACTGTTTTCTTTTGAGGCCTTTCTTCTTGGCTCCCACCTGTCTTCCCTCTGGTATTTTTTATACTGTTTTTCTTCTGCATCTTCATATGGGTTTTCTTCTATCTGTGTTTGTGTTCCAATTTTTCTTTTAAGAGCAAGGAAGTACATTCATGACTTCATTTGAACTTTTAAAAGATCCGACTTCTCCCAGTCACATTTTGAAGTACTTGGGGTTGGAAATTCAAAATGTGTATTTGAAGAGGACAAAATTCAGTTCTTAACAGATATTAAGGAGTAAAAAGGACTCAAAATACACAAATACATAGATAGTAGATTTAGGCAGCTATCACTCCTAGATATAAGGTGAATTACTCAAGGACATAGATTATCCATGCCCTAGGAAACCTCTCTCTGTTCGCCATAATTAGGGTGCTGAATATTTCCCCAAAGGCCATGTAATTGAAGAGTTGATTCCTGGTGCTAATCAAACTTCCAGGAGACCAGGAAGAACCATTTAGTGAGAGCTTAGGTCACTGGTGTCTGTCTCCAGAAGGGAAGTCTATGACCTTGGTGACTCAGTCTTCCCTTTTCTTTCTGGTTTAAGACATGAGCACTTGGTCCAATAAGTATCCTGGCCAGCAGCTCAAATCAAGAGATAGGCTTGATCTTGGATTTGAGCCTTCAGTATCATGGGCCAATATAATACCTATTTTTTTTCTTGATAAGTCTGATATTTCATTAGAATGATGCAAACCTGACTCACACACCTTTCCTCATGTCTATAATTCAGACATTTTGTTAAAAATGCATGTGGCTTAGTGGAAGGCAAAACTTGCTAATACTGTGAAGCCGTTGTATAGTGGAGCATCTTTCGGGTGTATCTCCAGGAGTGGTATAACTGGATCTTGAGATATGGCTATTCCCAGTTTTCTGAGAAAGCACCAAATTGATTTCCTAAGTGGCTGTATAAGTTTGCACTCCTACCAGCAATGGAGGAGTGTTCCCCTTCCTCCACATCCTCTGTAGCATGTGTTGTCACTTGAGTGTTTGACCTTAGCCAGTCTGACAGGTGTAAGATAAAATCTCAGAGTCATTTGATTTCAATTTGCCTGATGACTAAGGATGTTCAGTTTTTCTTTAAGGAGCCTCCACCATCCAAGATTTCTCTGTTGAGAATTCTGTTTGGCTCTTTATCCTTTTTTTTTTAATTGGAATATTTGGGTTGTTGATGTTTAATTTCTTGAGTTCTTTATATATTCTGGACATTACCCATTTGTAGGATTGGTGAAGATTGTTTTTCAATCTGTAGACTGCCATTTCATTCTATTGATAGTGTTCTTTGCTTTACAGAGCTGTCCAGTTTCAAGAGGTCCCATTTATTGATTGTTGGTCTTAGAGCCTGAGCTGTTGGTGTTCTGTTCAGGAAGTTGTCTCCCGTGCCAATGAGTTCAAGGTTCTTACCCACTTTCTCTTCTAGAAGATTTAGTGTATTTGTTTTATGTTGAGGTCTTTGCTCAACCATGTTTGTAGCAGCTTTATTTGTAATAGCCAGAATTTGGAAACAACCTAGATGTTCTTCAACCGAAGAATGGATAAAGAAAATGTGGTACTTTTACACAGTGGAATACTACTCAGCCATTAAAAACAATGAAATCATGAGATTTGCAGGCAAATGAATGGAATTTGAAAAGATCATCATGAATGAGGTAACACAGACCCAGAAAAACACACATGGTATATACTCACTTATAAAAGGATTTTAGTCATATAGTACAGGATATATAGGGATATAGTACAGGATATAGTACAGGATACATATACTACAATACACAGACCCTAAGAAGATAAGTCTGATGGGCATCTTAGGCTTCATGTTGGCCCACAAGTTTGGGGAGTGGGGCATTGCTGACTTTTTTGATCATGTCCCAGTGATGGGACTTCCCTACTAGGACACAGGGGAGGAAGACAAACTCAGACCTCATGTGAACAGAGGATTTGGGGTTTCTGGGTGGGTGAGTGGGCTCCACTATGCTGATGACTAGGGGAGAGTGGATGTGGGAGGGAGAGAGGGACTGGGAAGAGAAGAGGGAGGGGTCTATGACTGAGGTGTAAATTGAGTTAATTAATAAAAAAGGCAGAAAAAAAGAAATAAATACCAAGCCCAGTGGTATTCACAGATGATACCTCTCAAACCTCTAGAGAATAATCCCATTGCTACTTCAACTCTTACAGTGCACAAAGAATAAAAGCCATCAAATATTATCTATGATGCCAGAAAGAAACTATCCCAAGCAGAGAAAATGTAGTTTGGAACGTAAAAATTATTGACAAGTGTTACTTACCAATGTGATACTCACAAGTATACACATGTATACTCACAAATGTCTTATAAGTAAACACATGTATATATATGCATATATGTATACATATATAAACATATACAATTACATACATATATACATATATACATGTAGCCATATCTGGTGGATGGAACGAAACTCACAAGCTCCAAGAAACAACAACATCCTACATATATACACATACACACATATAGTTGGTGGATAGAGCAAAGTTCTGACAAGCAGACTCTAACACACACACCACAGACAGAAATATTCACACGTGTCTGATAGATAGAGCAAGTTCTTTCTTTTTCTTTCGTAAAGATTTGTTTATTATATATAGTGTTCTGCCTGCATGTACACCTGCAGGCCAGAAGAGGGCACCAGATTCACATTATAAATGGCTATGAGCCACTGTGTGGTTGCTGGGAATTGAATTTAGGACCTCTGGAAGAGCAGCCAGGGCTCTTAACCTCTGAGCCAGCCCTGATAGAGCAAGTTCTAACGAACAGGCTCTAACAATTTTAATCTCTTTCTTAGCCTTTTTACACTTTTTAAGACAAAGTTTCTTCTGTCAGAAGAAAAATTACCTTGCAGCCATAATAGCAATTATCATAGAATTCGTCACACAGCAGGATTATGGATTACATGTTTCTCCATTAAAAATAAACCTTTCTTTTCTATTTTTATTCTATTTTATATATTTCTTTTCTAAGTTCATTCTAAGTTCAGTACAATAGTTTTTTGTATCATAGATTGACAAGGTTTAAGGTTAACAGGGTCCAGGGCATTACAACAAGATAATTGTTTGTATATCTTTGCATTGAGACTGCACTTGACTAAGCATATTTTAACTAGCTCTTGGCTCCATGAGTTCATAATGAGTTAAAAGTCTTTTCTGTCTTTCATTCCACAAGCTGCCGTCTATGTCATTGGCTGATAAGGATTTTTACCAAAAAACAGGTCACCTATCTTATGTTTTGTTTTTAAAGTCTTGTATAGTTAATATCTATGGTCTGTTCATTGTTCATCTTATCGCGGTGCACACTGAAACCCAATGATACCATCTCCTAACCTAGAGCAAATGCTTCCCTGGGTCTTCAGTCTGTTTCAAGCCAGTCTCCTCTCCCTGTGTCAGTGACATGTGAAGGTTCATAGACTCTTAGAAGTTTTTGCTGTTCTGCAGGAGGGACTTGAAGTTACTTAAATCAAATCAGGCATTTTATAAAATTATTGTCAGGAATTATAAAACCATCAATATGTTTAAAGAGCATTATTTCATGAACGTCTATCTTTAGTTTGATCTATAGGAAATCTGCCCAACAAAGTGAAGCAGTTACCCCAGAGCACAGGCAGTGAGGATTTCTCTATGCCATGCCAGATATACAAGAGATGCAGCAATGATGAGCATGGAAAGGTATAGCAGCAGCAGGAAGCAACCTGGAGACAAAATATCTGGGGCCTTGTTTCACAGGGCAAACCCATCAAAGATCATGCAAACACCGTGGGCTGCCTCCAGGAAGCTCTCTTGCTTGTCACAGGCCTTTTCTACACATTCTTGTGTGCATGTGTATGTGTGTGTGTATGTATGTATATAAAAAGAACACCAGAATCTGATGTGTACTACAGGTAATA